AACATGTGAAGGCCTGCGCAAAACAATGGTGTACACAAAACAAAATAAACAATTAATAATGGTATGTAAACAAGACGAAAAAGCTGAACTTCTTTACCAAGTACTTCATGATGGATATAACCCAAACCACACTCACAAAGTATGGAGGTTATATGCGGAAAACGGCACTTGGTTCTGGCGTTCTACGATGGTCAAACAAGAAATCACCCGAATGAACATTTTTCTTTTTCTTTTTCTCTCTCTTTTTTCTTCTTTTCTTTTTGTGCGTATTTTTTGTAATTTTTTGATCTTCACCCTATACTAGCATGGTAAGGGTATAATAAACTAAACTAAACTATTATTTCTTGTATAGAGAAGAAGAGAGCAGTGCTAGAGAATGGACTGAGGAATTTCTACCTGAATTTCGCTAGATTATTTACAGACTTGGCAACACTCAAATTTCAAACAGAGGTGCATACGAATGTGATCCGTGCAACAGAAAACACATTACTTTAGTTTTTTAAATCATGAAGCTGTGGTTAAACTGACCAGCAGCCACATCATCCTTGGGAAAATGATGTTTTGTTGCTGACAATTCTTCGGCAGTAAAGAAATTTCTATTTCTCAGTTTCTGAACTCTTACATTTCGCTACAATGAACCGATTCATCATCGAGTTTTATTAAACGACTATGACAGATAGTGAATACAATGGACAGCATGGTACTTTAGAATGTGATAGAAAGAGTTTCAGTCAGTGTAAAAAGCATTATCGTTCTGGGCAACATTTGTTTGGCATCTCTCATTTTTACGGGTACAACTTCTTTAAGCTTATAACTATTCTTTACTACGCAATATTGAATGTAGTGATGTAGTGAATTTGTACATCTCATTAAGAGTAAATAATGAAAAAATATCTCTTCGATCTACACAGCAACTATCGAAGTAGAAAAGAAAGGATCAGCGCGTTTACATCCAATCGATCACTCATGTAAGATCTGTCATTATGTTCAAGTTATTTTCAATGAGATGAAGACAAATGATCTTTCTTACCAGACATAGACTTGTGACTTGAATGAGAAACCAGTGACACAGGTTGTAGAAGCACAATAGGAGGTTTAACTTCTTTCAATTGAATCATATGAAGACCCGGTGCTGGTTGCAGAGAAGCAACTACTTCAAATTGCCTAGCAGCAGGAAGCAGAATTTCCTGCTCGAACTGAAAATACGAATGACGACTGATGTCTTTTCCGCTGTCACATTCGATCGTGAACAATGTTCTTGTACCCGTTTGGCTCAAAAAATCTTCATTCTGAAGTACGTCGATTGATGCAGTGCAAGAGGAGAAAGCCCACCAAACGACCAATTTGCCTTTTTTATAGTACTTGCTCAAGTCTGTATTGACCCCTCGATAGACAAATCGGTGAGCTGAAGGAAGACGAGTGAGTCCACTAAGAAAAAGTTTTAAATATGGATACCATGATTCCAGTTTACGTCTGTCTTCTGATCGAAGAATACTATTCAGGACGAAGTAGAGACATTTTTGTTGAGGTGTCCATTCCATGGAGTAGAGCATGATGGCTGCCGATTCGTCTTGACTAAGACCGTCGGCCGGCTCTTCGTCACATCGTTGCTTGGCGACATAGACATAATCTTTGATGTCAGGCAAAGTTGTCACAAGTGGTTCGACGGCTTCTTCGAGTGTAACCAACGGTACTTCATCATATCCCCGAATTGGTAGTAGCATTTTGAGTGGTTCCTGGCCGACATCAGAGATTCGAACACGATGAGCATGTACTTCACCGCCAGTAGCCATGTGGAATAAGAGTGAGATCTGATGTTGAAGAAAACAACAAAACTCATAAAAAGCGAAATAGAAAATAGGTATAGATGTTGACTCGGACTGTGTAGGTGTGGGTGGAGAGGAAGACAAAACCTTCAACAAAGCTCCCGCCGATACATCCAATAATGTTTGAAATATTATGAAAGCACAATAGGTAGACTTGGCGTTTGGATAATTTTGAGAGCGACTGTTTTTGACAGAGAAGAATACAAATTACCGTAGATTAATCCTGGAACAATTCAATTTCAATTCTCAGAGCTGTAACTATTTTATGAGTTCCTATCAGCGATTCTGCCTAATAAAAAAGGAAATATTTTGAATTGTGTTTCTATCTTTTTTTACCGATATGCAAAAGGTTCTACTGAGAATGCTTTTTGTGAGACACAATAGTAAACGACTGTTGAAGGACATAGTTAGAATGGTAAATTATCCGTAGGTTTGGGCCACAGATTATGATAGACACATAGATGGTATGCTACCTTAGATTTAAAATCATAGTACTATGAACTTTTCAGTCATGATATTTTAGTTTTTGAATTGTAACTATATGATTTATCAAACCATATAAATCGGAATTTTCAGGCCACGATATTTTGGACTTTTAAAGCAAAACCTGATGGATATTTAAATCAAGGATTTTGTGCGTTTTGGACCATACTCAAAGTGCATTCTAATCTCAGACTTAACTTTTATTTGAGGACTCGTCATTATTGGACCTAATACCGGCAGTTCCGAATAGAAGAGTCGAAATATGAACCACCAGAAATAAACTGCTCAATCTTTCCTATTTTGCAGCAGTGAGCACACCCCCCGCAAGTTATTTCGTAGATTAGATCTCACTTAGTATGGGCTCCGAATTATTGTTAGAGCGTTATTGACAAGGAACAGAACGTGAATTCATTAGTCTGGACACTGGCAGCCTCGACTGGTTCATTATACCCTATTTTTTACATTAGGATGCCAGACAACATTCAATATGCTTACTTATTACTTATTTTTGTGCTACCATCTGAGCTGTATCTAGAACACTTTTGTATCTTGTCTTGTTACTTAGTTCGCATCATCGCCTCGGAGCAAAGAACTAGTCGTCTACACCACGTGAACCAAGATCGTAATGAAGCATCTATGAAACCTCATCCCTAACAATTACTGCAACGAATCAACATTCATTGGTAAGCCTTTTCGGGTCCTTTGCACAATACCGCAGCCTCAATACATCAATAGCATTTTCGATACTAAAGCGCAAATGGAATCTCTATTTCACTGGACTAGACAGACTTAAGACCTTTGCCGGTACCATTTTCGAAGAGACCTACCAGTTAACCTATGAATTAGTCATTTTATTATTTTCTTTATAAAAAAATCCAATTACACTGTAAGATTCTCTTCTCCTATAAAGCGACTTTTCTATATCGCATCACAATGTAAACTTACGGATCAATCTCTTTCGAATGCGTTGCCTTGCTGGAGTTCACTGTCCACGTGCGTCGAAATACTGCTAAATAAAATATTAACATTACAATGTACAATGAACGAAGTGGAAACATACCGGGTCAATAGTAATTTGAAGCTGAACAATACTTTGCAAGAAAATTGACGATGCTTGCCCCTTAGTGTGTGTTGAAGACGACAAATGAAAATGAATTGCTTGGAAAAACAAAAGTATCTTTTCTGAAATGGAGAAAAGACAGAAATTGGTTTTGTGAAATACAAACAAGTGCATGAGTAGAAATAACAGCAGCATGGAAGTGAAAGTAAGCAGAGAGTGAATGGTGTTGCTGATGTATGTGCAGCGCTTTTTGCCACACCTGCTTGAAAGCAAAAAAACATTGCATTTCACCTCAATCGATTCAAGTAAACAACGGAAGAAAAAACTTGGTTTCTAAGGTGTCTACTAGGCAAAGTAGGAAGTCGATGTAGGCTTGGTTATATATATGTATTATTATGAGCGTCGATGCCTGTGATTGTTAGTTCCGGTATTATATAAGACTCAAAGAAAATCCGGACAAACATCCACATAGATCAACCCTCACACTAACAGATCCATGTCCACCCTAATAAAGACTTGTTCAAATTATTTTTCATAAGAGAAACGTCAACAAATACTGTTCGAAGCTAGGAACATTTATTGGAACAAGGATTTATCCCATATAACGGGCTGAAAAAATGTTACATAATAGTCTATACACATGTCTAAGAGCCAAATTTAGGCGCAGAAAAGCAATCTGTAATACATTTTTAGCGCGTAACTGTTGACAAATCGTTGTTGACGAATATGTTATATGCTTGTAACACTATTTGTTAATGGTTCTTTAAAAAAAACTTAAAAAGCCTCTATAACTGATAAAAAATTCCAGCTCACTCGATCGACGTTGAGTAGAGATATTTAAATTTCTTATCACCTATTTACCTATGGGCCACCCTTTACTTTTATTCCTTGCTTCTCTTTTTTTACAGTGAAAAAAGAAACCAAAAGAAAAAACACATTAATAATGTTTGTTTTCGTTCTTCGTACACGTCATTATATATACGAATCGTTTTGGTATCAGCCATAAACAAAATTGTCCTCATTACAAACCCACTCTAAACGATATGACTTTTTGAGCGCTACTGTAAAAGTGTGTCGCTTTTTGATAAACGATCTAAAGAGAATGTTGGAGTACACAGGGTAGAAATTTGGACTCACCCGTGATGGCTCCTCCTAAAGTTATGAATAACGAGATTCAAAGCAGAAATGGACAGCTCCGCTGTAACGAAAAAAGCTGTTTTTGTTGAAGTTTGTTGGGGTGCAGTAAATTTGACGTTTTATTTCAGCATATATACATATAGAATATAAACAAGACAAACTAATTCTCAATATATTTAACTAAGCCTGATTACAGTATGAAGATTATTTACAATGTCAAAGAGACTAGTGAACTACATCAAGTGTCGATTGCATCTTAGTAAACTAAGCATCAGGAGCATATTCTTACGGAGTCGATTGTCATAAGGGCGCATGAGTATGGCGCTCGAGGAAAAACACCCGTTCAACTGGAGCGGAGGTAGCCGGTGCACCATGTACTCTTGTAGAATATGGGTGGATGCGCGTGTAGATGTGGATAGCTGTGGATGTGAGTATAGACTGTGATCAGACCTACATCCAACCCACACCCCACACCCACCCAAATATGTAAAGACGAAATATTTTTGCTTTTTATTTGTAATATTGTCATTATTATTATTATTAAATTCTTTATTTATTTGGTGGTCGGTCTTCTTCCGTCACACCGGGTAGAAAATAAATAATATATCAACATCAAAGTTCAAAAATATTCGAATAACTTATTTTAAACATTGTGTATCAATAATATTCCGTAACTCATCACGATGCCTATTAGAATCATTATAGAGTTCGATACACCAATTCCACAAATACAAGAAAAAAAGTTTTTTTTTTTATTTCAGCATCCACATAATTTTAATGAAAAAAAGAAATAACATATCGAACCAAGTTTATGTTGTGTATTAGGATGATGATTAAGAAATTCAGGTAGATATTGTGATACGAGCGCTTCAAGTATGACTTCTTTTAATTCATAAAATACAGTTGGATCTTCTTTTGTTAAAAATCTTATCGATTTGCCTACACAACCTGATATATTCATATACAAATCTTCATAGAATCTTGTGAAATACTAAAAAAGATTAAGTTACTTCGCTTGTATCATTTCAAGTTCTTCAATTATTGCTAATTCATATGTCATATTATTTATTTAATTCATGATCTTGACCATAGAAAGCTGTATATATTATTTTATTTGAACCAAATTTTTTCAGAATTTTGTTCAATAAGATCATTTAGTGAAAATACTTGATCAATGCATGAATGATTATTATGTTGATTTGTTTAATTTGTCAAATAAGAACTCATCTAGTAAGATCTCAATCTTTTTTATTTCCTCCTCTTTAACTAACAGAACAATAAAAATATTATTAATGTCTGAAATAAAAATTGTTATATTAGGATAAAATTCATACATATGTTTAATGCTATCAAGTATTTTTGACATTGATATTCTTCACTTAACACTCAGAACCAGTAAACATGTTGTTATGATTGGATAAGCAGGAAGAAAACGAAGTCAATAAATATTAAATTATAACTTAGCATATACTACGTGACTTTCTTTAATTCAAATGTTTCAAATATTGAGAAATGTAGCACAAAATTAAGAAATTTAAACTTTATTGAATAGGAATAGAAAAATAAGAGTTAT